TCCTTCTTTGATGACCCATTCTTTCCACTGGGATCTCACTCACAGAGATCTTTCATTTAGGTGTTGTTGGTTTTTGTTTTTGTTTTTGTTTTTGTTTTTTTTTTGCCAGAATGTCTTGGCTTTCCATGCCTGAAATACTCTCATGGGCTTTTCAGCCAGATCCGAATGCCTTTAGGGCTGATTCTGAGGCCAGAGTGCTGTTTAGGACATCTGCCATTCTATGAGTCTGCTGAGTATCTCGCTTCCCATGTTGGATCACTCTCCCCTTTATTTATTCTATCGGTTAGTATTAGCAGGTACTAGACTCGTTTATGTGCTCCCTTTGACTCTTAGTCCTTTCATTATGATCAATTGTGAACTGAAATTGATCACTTGGACTAGTGAGATGGCATTGGTACATGCCACCTTGATGGGATTAAATTGGAATCCCCTGGTATGTCAAATGGTAGAGTTATACATTTCTTTTGATGATGTATCTGTCCAAATCATTTTCCATTTTAGAATTTATTTCTTCATTTTGAGATTTGAAAAATTTTTGGATGCAAATCTTTACTGAACATATAAATTGTTAAATATTTTCTCAATCTATGGCTTGCCTGCTATCTCATAGTATCTTTTGTAGGACAGAGATTTTAATGCTGATGAATTGAAATTTATCAAGTTATCATTTAAGAACTTTTGATTAAATGTCTAAAACATTTATACCTAAATCAAAGTCATGGAAGATCTTTTGCAATCTTTAAGGAAAATATAGTCTTTCACCCTTGAGCATGATTTTAACTAGGAATTTTTCATAAGTATTTTCTGGAATATTATTTAGTTTGTTTGATTGCATCATGTTTCTCTGTTACTTTGTTTGCCTTATAATTTTTTGCTGTGAATTAAGCCTTCGAAGAAACAACTCTTGCTTCTAGTCTTTGCACACTGGTGTTTTGTAGGGAATCTTTCCTATAATGTTGGATGGAATTTCTAGGACTTCTCAAACTTTCTCTGATCTGCTGACATTCCCCAGCAGAACTGAAGCTTCCTTCAATATATTACCTGCCTCTTTTTCAACTGCTTCTAAACTCTAACACCATCTTATCAAAGTTACAAGTTCCACCAGACAGGCACCTTAGATCATGCAGGTAAACTAGAATGTTACATGGATAGCACACTCTGGTTTAAGTTCTGCAAGAAGTTTCAGTGTAGGTGGTTCCCTCTTATTTACCCTGTGCTATGCTACATAGAGGAACAGCTACAAAAAGTGCTGTGCCAAACATCACAATATTTCCTACATGCTTCTTTGGAGTCTTGTCTTGGTTTTAAAATGCCATGGGTTTTGCAGCTTGTCAATTGGAAGCTAGAATTTTCAGAGTTGTTCCAGTCCACAGATTGCTGTTAACCCAGTGTCATTTTAGTATAAAGAGAGCCCCTTGATTCCCAGTCCATCATCATCTAATGTCATTGTAATGTCACTCAATGAATTTTGTTTTGTGGTGCAGTATATAAACATCTAAAATGCTATGTATTTTTAATGAATAAAACTCTTTCTTCATTATAAAATCAGCTTCTTCAACAGTGGTGATGTCCTTTCCTATTCCTATGAAATCTACTTTATATTGAGATTACTATTAATACTTCAGTCCAGATTTACTTTAATTAATGATAATGTAATATGTTGTTTAGGCAGGGTACAGTTAGGTCATGTTTTTTGTTCAATCTGACAGTTTTCCTTTTTTAAAAAAAATTTATTTATTTATTTAAAAGCCAGAGTTACAGAGAGAGAGAGAGAGAGAGAGAGAGAGAGAGAGAGAAATTTATCTATCATTCACTGGTTTACTCCCTAGATGGCCACAATGGTTAGGGCTAGGCCAGGCTGAAGCCAGGAGACAGAAGATTCATCCAGGTTTCCTATGTGGGTGGGGGCCATCTGCTGCTGTTTTCCCCAGGCCATTAGCAGAGAGATGGATCAGAAGTGGAGCAGCAAGGATAACAACAGGCACCCATATAGGATGCCAGAGTCACAGGTGATGGTTTTACCTGCTATGCCACAATGCTGGCCCCCAGTCTTTCCCTTTCAATGGAAGTATTTGGACCATTTGTGTTGCTGTGGATTCGTTTCTGGGAGGAGGAGTGTGGTAGGGGCAAGAGGCATGGAGTCACCACACAGACCCCGGGAGTCGGGTGAAAGCAGGCCTGAGGCAAGCAGCCTGCAGACTCGTTTATTTCAGTTGCTACAGCAGCTTATATAGCCAAGGAAGCCAATCTGGTCAAGGGGCAGTATATGCACTAACCAATCGCTCCCTGTTACCAGGCAGGCTCTGCTGTCATGTGGTTTCCAAAACCATCCAATCATAGCCTGTTCCCAGGCAGCTTCTGTTGCCAGCAGCCATCTTGGCATAGCCTTCTCATTCCACCACATTTCCCCTTTTTTGTTTATTTTTGAGCAACGGGAGGCATGATTCTTGGCCATACCATTGTGGACCCCATTTCCATGTGGTCTCCGTACGTGCCTGTGCCTGTCTTAGGTTGTCCCCCAGGGGATCTTACCCTTCATTGACTAACCAGTGCTCAAAATGGGAAACCATTCTTTTTATCCTTTTTCTTTTTTCTTTCTCAGATAAAGCAGGACAGGGAATGGGAAGCGGGAGGAGAATGGGTGGAAGGATGGGTACTGTGGGGAGAATCACTACGTACATAATGTATTCATGAGATAAATACAAATTAAAAATAAATAAATAAAAATTTTGTTTATTTGTGAGGCACAGTTATAGAAAGAGAGTGATAGATAGAGGCAGAGACATTTTTAATTCTGTTTATTGTTTCCATACACTTATTCCTATCTATATGATCTCTTGATCACTTGATTCTACATATATGGTCATTTTACCACTTAATCTTATCGATTTGGTCTTTATTATACTTAAGCTGCTATTTTTATCAGCCAGCTTAAGGGATTTTGGAGTCCTATGGCAATTTGTTTAGTTGTACCCTTAGACATGAGTCCATAGGAAAGTATGTAGGACTACACTGCTTTGCAGTTATGCACTTCACGCATTTCACAGTTATAGCTTTAGGATCTAGTTTAAATCTTCCCACCATGCCTGTCCCCCAACCCACACTCACATGCCCTTCCTCTTCCCTTTCTTATTCTCACTTATTCTTTATTAAGTTGTATTTTTCTTTCTGTTCTAAGCAAGTTTCCCACTGTATTTTGACTTGCATTAATCACAGTGATCAGTCCACTGCCATTGTTAGCTTTGATTCTCTTTATAATATATCTTCCCTCGGATCTCTGATCTCTAGCTTCATTGAAGATTTTTCCAATATTACTACAGAAGCAAGTTGATTGTGATGTGTTTTGTTTTTGTCTTCATTTTTATTTTGCTTGAGATTCTTAAACCTCTTGACTCTGCAAGTTTATAGTTTTCATTGAGTTTGAAAATATTTGATCATTATTTCTTCAAACACCTTTTTTGACCCCTTTCTCATTTCTCCTCTTCTTCAGGAGCTCCAAGAGAATATGTATGAGAAAGCCTGAAACTACTCCCCAACCCATTGATATTCTCACCTTTTAAATTAGCTTTTCTTTCTCAGTCTCATTCTGGAAACTGAAATGTAATTGTTATGTCTTCCTGTTCACTTTTGCTATTCTGCACTAATTTGCTGTTCATCTAATCCAGCAAATTTCCCATCTGCGTTAGTATAGTTTTCATTTCCAGAAGTTTTATTTGGATCTTTTTCTTTCTTGTATCTTCCACATCCTATCTAACTTCATAAGTTATAGGGTACTGTTATAGCAATCACTCTAGCATTCTTATCTATTTATTATAACACTTTCACCAGTTTTAACTCAGTTTCAGTTGCTGAATTTTGTTATGGTTCATACTTATCTGCTTTTTTGCATGTCTGGTGATCTTTGTTTAGGTTTGCTACATTGTAGACAGTTGGACATATTATCCTATTATAAAAATCCTTGACCTTTTGAAAATTCAGTTAAGTTGATTGCAGATGATTAACATTTTGGATCTTCCATGATAGGTGCATGTAAAGCAATGTTCAATGCAGGAATAAATATTTATCACTAGTGAGTTACAGCTTTTCTAAGTGTTCTATTAAATATACAATGAATTGTGAAGTTTCCAAGTGGAGCCTTAGTCAATAAGCACTATTCTTTGTCTGTTTGATTGTGGTACACTTCAATTTTTTCAGATAATTATTTTTCTTATCCTGCTAGTTTCTTCATGTAAGTGTTGATCACTGCGTAGCTGAATATCAACGATAACTGTTACATGTATTAGTTGGGCTCTCTGTCTATCCGTCCCTCCTTCCACCTCATTCCCTTCTCTGGAGCATGACTCTGAGAAGTCTAACTACCCGCCTTACTCTGTCTCCTTGTCAACTCAAGAATATTCCTGGATTCTGTCTGCATTGCCTCTCTCCGTACCATAGCTTGAAGGCTCTCAATGCAATCTGGGGAAACTGACCTGTCAGGGATCACTGTCCTTTGCTCTCAGAGGAAAAATATCTTTCAAAGTGTTCTTTTATATATTTTACACATTTTTTTCCATTGAGATAAAACATTTGGCCCTCACTGGTTCATCTCATAATGATATTCATCTGGAAAACTCTTATTTTATGGTCGTTCTTATTATTTCATTTTTAAAAAAAAGTTTGTTCATCTGAAAAGCAGATAGGAAGAGACAGAAAGACAGATCATCCACCCACTGGTTCACTCTCCAGATGGCTGCCACAGCCACAGCTGAGTCAAATAGAAGCCAGGAGCTTCATCCCGGCCTTGTACCAGGGTGCCAGAGGTCCAAGTACTTGGGCTATCTTCTGCTGCTCTCCAAGAAGCGTCAGCAGGGAACTGGATAGGAGTGGAGCAGCTAGGTCTTGAATTGCCCATATGGGATGCTAGCCTGACAAACAGCAGCTTAAACCCCTGTGTCACAATGCTGACCCTCAGTGATGTTATTTCTTGATTAAATACTCTATTGTGTAGATAACATCGTGCCTGTAGTCTTGAGATTTTCTTTTGCATTTGTTTAAGTATTTCACTACTCTATTGATTAGGTAGCAGATCTATTTTGGTAAAGAATATTTGCAACTTTTCAGGCATTTTAGGGACAGCTGCAAAATAATAATGAAGGAAGGTATCTTTGAAATTCATTTCAATGCCTTACAAAGGACACAAGGGACGACATTTGTAAATAAGAAAATTAAGAGTAGTTTTATCGTCTACAGGAAAAAAAAATGGCAACAACAAAACCAGCTTCTTTTGCCAAATAAATGGACATAAAAAAGAAATCATTGGCACTGGCAGGAAAAAATGTCATTGAAAATTGTCTCTGAGCAATTTTCCTTTTGTACTCTAAAATATTCACATCAGCAAATGTAAATAAGCAGTTAATGAATAAATCGGATAATTTATCTTGTTTTTCAGCATAGTTAAAAGCATTTCATGATCTAAGAACCAAATATTGCTGAAAAATATGTATCTATATGTTAACAAGTTTGGAATCAACTTCAGGAATGTCTATTCTGATAAATAAACTAAAGACATAGATTTTTAAGACTATTCCAGGGATTTTTTTGGAAAATCACTCTACAGAAGAATCTATCCTTGCAAAGGATTAGCTTCAGTATTTTGGCTTCTTTTTGCTCTTCTCTGGTAAACTGGGAGACAGGAATAAGTTGTTTTATAAAATTATTACTTGATAATAACATATCAGATTTTATTTTTGGCTTATATTTAACCACTGCACATTCAAATTTAAATATTTTCTCTTCCAAGAGAAATCTATTCCATGCAGTGTTGCTGGGAAAGATCTTCAGTCTAAGCATAATTTGATGTCTGAATCTTGACTTGTTTGGTTGAACAACAAAGGTAACCACATAAGAGAAGCTATTATGAAAATTAAAAGCTATGATTAACATTTCAGTGACACTGAGCAGGCTGAAAAGTTTCATGTCTATGTCAAAATATTCATTGCAATGACCCTATGGTTCTGTTTTTGATCTTTAACTTATTGGGTATAACTGTTGCCATAGTTCCAATGAACAATTATAAGACTTAATTTAAAAGGAGCGACCCTAAGTATTATTGCTTGTGGTGTCACATAGAAATCAACAGCAAAATACAGGACAAAAGCTTAATGTTCACAAGTCAAATACATAACGAAGATTTTTTTTTCAAGTATTTATTTATTTATCTGAAAGTCAGCGTTACAGAGATACAGGGAGAGACAGAGAGGTTTTTCATCCCCTGGTTCACTCCCCGGATGGCTGCAGTGGTCAGCACTGGGTCAGGCTGAAGCCAGAAGCCAGGGGCTTTTTTCAAATCTCCCATGTGGGCACTAGGGGCCCAAACACTTGAACCATCGTCTGTTGCTTTTCTCAGGCTGTTAGCAGAGAGCTGGACTGGAGGTGGAGCAGCTGGGACTGCAACTTACGTTCATATGAGATGCTCGCATTCGTGAAGTGGCTTTACCTGCTTTACCACAGCACAATTCCCCTAGAAAAGATTCTTATTACATATCTGCAGAGAAAGAATCACTAAAGGAAAGTGGTAGAATACTAGTGAGACTTTATGAGCTAAACCATAATGAAAAGGTAAATATTGAGTGATCTATGTGTTTATTTTCCCAATTTTATTAAACAGAGAAATAGAAAACTGTCATGCAGTTGCCTCTTCCATGAAAGAAACAGCCTTGTGATTGGGGCTGTGGCACAGAAGGTTAAGCATCTGATTCACTAGCATTCCATATGGGAGCTGGTTCAAGTACTGGCTTCTCTACTTCAAAGCCAGGTCCCTGCTAATAAGCCTGGAAAAGCGGTAGAGGTATGGCCCAGTCCTTGGGCCCCTCTGCCCATGGAAAATCCCAAAGAAGTTCCTGGCTTCTGGCTCCTTGCTCCTGTCTCCTGGCCTGGCCCAGCCCTGGTTGTTTTGGTCATCTGAGTATTTAATCAACAGATGGAAAACCTCTCTCTCTGTCTCTCCTTCTCTTTCTTTGTAACTCTTTCAAAATAAAATAAATAGCAAAAAAGCAAAACAAAATAAAATAACTCTTAAAAAAATAAAAGAGTGAGCCTTGACACTTAATTCTCCAGTCTTACTAATAGGGAATGTCACTGTTCAAAGCCACATGGGGACATGCTCCTTTTCACAATTACCCTGGCATTCTTATACTTTTCAGCAACACCTGAAACAGTCATCAAACACTCGCCATAAAATGTTCGAAACCTACTGCTGTTAAGTAAAAGGTACACACTGTGCATGTATTTCATTTGCTTTACAAGTGAGATCAGGAAAGTAACACCAGGCTTCTCTGCACTTGAAGGTTGGTGGGAATGATGATTTGGTCTTGATTCAAGGTTTCATCCACTTAAGTTTACTACTGAATGCAATCAAGAGGCACAAGGATATGTGTTAGGTGAGGGTGAAAGTGAACAGATGTAGCTTCCTAATTCACTTTTGGCTGGAAGAGTGCCCAGAGTCCAATGCGGCTGGCCTAAAGGGAGAGCTGCACTAGGTTAGGATCAGAGCTACAAACCTATCTGGTCTCTAAACCACCAGTTCCGGGGCGGAAGCTTCACTGCATCCACACTCTTCACCTGCTTGTCAATGTCCTTTGTCAGTGAGAAAATGCTGAGTAAATGTTCACTTTTTTTAGAAGTCCATGCCAGGAAAGGTATTGTTTTTCACAATACAAGTTGTAATTCTGTAAGGAATTTCAAAAAATAAGAGGATCAAGGAAGCTAGTATTCAATGCAATATTCTTTTTTTTTTTTTTTTGACAGGCAGAGTTAGCAATGCAATATTCTTCATGAAAACAATTTAACTTCTGTGTGTGTGTGTGTGTGTGTGTGTTTCAGCATAACATCCTGCACTGCACAATAACACTGAAAAACAGAATTCTCAGGAAAGTATAATTTAAGAAACTCAATATTTTTGTTTCCATCTTTACTTAATTGATCCAATTAGTTCACTTTCCTGCTCAAACAACTAAAATTCAGTGATATACTTTAATTTTTCTTTGAGGATTAAGTATCTGAATTTCCATTCTGGGTTTCCAGATTCATTGTACCATACAATAGACTTAAGTCCTTATAATGAAATCATCCTGTTAAATTCATTTTACCTGTGTTATTTAAATATTATGTATGTATGATGAACACATGTTTGTGTGTGTGTGTGTGTGTGTGTGTGTGGAGGTACCGGGTGGCAAAGTCATAATTATGTCTTTCTGCCATGTGCAATACTGTGAAAAGTGATTCCGATTTCATTTGGTACTGCTATTTGGTTTATGCACAGTTCACTCACTAAGAAATAAATAAATCAAATTACATGTGATTGACCTTATACTCCATAACAATTTTAGTATTTTGGAAGCAGGATTCACAGCCTTGACTAGATCTAGCCGCTGCTGAAAGGGTAGCCAAGGCACACATTTCCTATGCAAGATGTTCCATCAGGAGGACCTTGGGAGGAGGGGGGAGGGCAGAACTGCTCATTCACAGACTGCCTTTCACATAATTATTTCGAGCAAGGAATTTCATACCAGCCAAATCCTAGTTGGGTGCCCCCACAGAATCATAGTATGATATATATTTTACTCAAAAAAGACAGTAATTTTCATAGTGTGTCTTCATGTCATGAACCATCTTTCTTGCAGTTTTCTTTGGAACAAAATCTCATGTGAATGAATGGGGCAGAGGTTTCTAGGGAGCCATGGTTTCAATGATCAAGCAGTCATGCATGCTGCAGCCTCCAGCTCTCCCAGCCTCTAACCCCAATTCCAGAAAATAGAGCCACAGATGAATATTTGACATAGGAATAGCTGACTACAAGTGTGCACAGCAAGATTCAAAAGGAGGGTTTAGGAGATCACATTTTACTTTCCACAATTCAGAACTGGACATTACAGGAGAAATATAGCATTTACCAATGAGATCCAAAGTCTTCTCAGGGTTGGCTGACCCTTGGTTTGTTCAGATGAGTAACAAACGGAACCATGTAACAGAAGCTGTTAAGAAAATTAAAAGCTATTATTAACATTGAAATGGCATTGAGCAGCACACTGCTGATCCTCGATAAAGTGTGTGGCTCCTTCACTTCCCATTCCACTTCATGGCAGCTTCTTCTCCCCGAAAGCTCAGATTGGAATATCATGCGGGACTCTTCCTCCTTCTTCTTATTAGGTCATTTACCAACTCCCAGGTCCCTCAGCCGCTAGCTGTTATTCTCAGTGATTATAACACAGGAATGGACGGTCCTCACCCTTCCTCCCATGGACATTTCCTAGCTGTAGTCATGATCAAGACTCAAGCATTTCTCTTTCCAACCAGCACCCTTCTTTCTCATTCCTACTAGTGCCTGATTCAACATAACTTTGAGCTTCCAGGAATCCACAACCATCAATTCTACTACATATTTACTCTTTTCATTGCCACTTCAATCTAAATAATTCTCATGGCCAATAAGCATGAGCACCCACTCAGGTACTCTGAGTGCCTGGTGTGCCCTCAGTCCACAGTAACTTGGAAAAAAACAAGGTAAAATCAACTCTCTCACCTCCTTGCCTGCACATGTACAGCCATTTATGGTACGTACTAATTTAGGGCTGGAGGAATGCATGCATCCATACTGACAGGCTCCACTTCAAGATCCCTAAGCTCACCAGGGCCCTCACACTGCCAGGCAATCATGACCCTACCATATTTTCCTGGCATTTCCGCCTTCCTTCTCTGTTACATTCCTCTTTCACACTTTTTAGTCTTTCTTCTGCCTTACACATCTTCCTGCACGAATAAATCATCCTCATCAGAGCACAAGCATGCTATCATTTCTTTCATTTCTTAAAATTATTTTACCCCATTTTCCTCTCCACAGTGTGTCCTCCTCCTCCCCAAACAGCACAATGCCTACAAAAGAGTTGTTTGAACTGGATTCTCCTTCCTACTTTCCCCTGCTATTCATTCTAATCAAATTCATCTCCAATCTGTGATACCTTAGTACTACTAGAAGCACCCTGAGCAATACATTTCTAAAACCTAAACTCAATATTCAGAGTTCTTCTTTGATGTAGTCAGAATTGGACACAGAAGCAGAGGTTTACAGAAATAAAATTGTCTGGAAGCAGCAATGAGGGAGTAAGAGAACATTCATCCACCTCCTCCTTCAAGCACTTTCTTCATTTGGGTCTCAAGACACACCTTTGCCTGGCTTCTCCTGTCTTCCAGGCTGATTCTTGCTGGCAACAGCAAAGGCTCAGTCCCCAAATACTTCCCTGTGTGCAAATGAACTCCTCTTGTGCTCATTCCCTTCTGTCCTGTGGCATTTAGCGGCTTGCACACTGGTGTTCTGGAATTTCTATCTCCAGCCCCAATTCTTCCCTAGAACTCCAGACTTTTGTGGTATGCATCAACATTCCATTTGCCCAAGTACATATCCTTAGGGCTAATCAGTTTCTTACATGCTTAAATTTTTGAGATTTCACTTCTTCTTTTGTCCCTGTAATTTGATATTTGTGTGTGTGTGCGTGTGTCTGGTCTAAAACACAAAAGTGTTTCCTCAGGTCTGCCCAACAATCCTACCTTAAAGTTAGTCTTTCATTCAGTAAAGAACAAATTTCTCAACTTCTCTTCTATCTTGTCTCTAGCACTGTTTCTTCTCTCTCTCAGTTCATGCCTTAACTTGTATTTCACTGACAAAACAGAAACAGTCAAGGTAGATCCACCTTATTGCCTTTCATCAAAACTACCAAACTGCTTGTGTCTGAACCATACAGTTACTCTATTTATTGCCTATCTCCACAGTAGAATATAAACATATCAGTGTTCAGCAGCTTTATCATGTGCAAGGTTATTGGAAAAGAGTCTATCTGAAAATTTGGCCATATATGAGGATGTTTCAAAAGATTTATTCAAAAAGGAATTAAATACAAATTTACTTTGGTACAAAAATGTTTTGAAATCCATGCAGAGTTTTTTAATAATATTCATTTTCCATGAATTTTTGAATACTTCTTGTATATAATCAAATTTTTATAATGTAAAAAATCTTAAATGAAAACATTACTTCTGGTACATTGATATTATAACTTTAATGACCTATATTTGGAAGAATTCTGGAGACTGGACAATTGCTTAGCATTGGGGTAGGACATTAGCTATTTTCACTGAGCTATTACTCAATGTCATCTTTCATGCCCTACATGAGAGTTGAGGTCTATTTCAGACAGTCTTGGAGACCAGTGTTTAAATTTATGCCTGGCTTCCAGTATGCAAATTTTGGCATGATATTAATTTAGACACACGTTTTGTGGAGTACTGACCAGAATGTGGTGGGTAGATCCTATGGGGGTCTTTAGATTTTTACTCTATATGTTCCTTCCCTTTGTGTGGATTCCTTTCTAAACAGTAGAATGTGGCAAAGGTCATGGGTGGTCACCCAGGGATTAGGTTTTATGTTACATTGTATAGGACTCCATCATAGTAGAGCTCTCCTCGCTGGACTAATGCTGGTTTTGAATGCTCATAGGACAATACCTGACAGCAGCATCCAGTTAACTACCAGAAAATATCTGGGACCCTCAGTAATGCTGCTGCAGATAAATAAATTCTGCCAACAACCTGAATGAGACTGGAAGCAGAGCCTTCCACAGTTGAGAGAGCACACCCCACCTGACATGATATAGCAGAAGAGCCAGTTAAGTCATACCCAGATGCCTGAACCATAGAAACTGTGGGATGGTAAGCCCACATGCTTTAAGCCATGGCATTAATAGAAAGCTGTGACCCAGCAATAGAAAACTAATACAGCGTTGAATGAGATATTGAATGTAAACATGCTTTCTAACACTGGAAGCACCAACATGTGTAGAGTTATGGATATTCACAGGGTAAAGGAACAAAGACTGCTCAGGCCCCCAGACGTCCAGGGTGTTTGGTGGAGTCAGTGTGGGGATCCCTTTCCTCCTGCCAAGGCTTCAGGCAGGAAGAGCTGAGGGACCCAGGGGTGAGCATGGTTACATTGCAATTAGATCTGCAATGTGATCTTATGGAGTGGAAAAATCACAAGGCCTTGTTACATTTTTAGTAAGAATTCAATAGTTGTGTTTAACAGATTAAGAGAGATTAAAAAGTAAAAAATATTTTTTCAGATTCCTACAACTAGAAATATCCTTTGCTACTGTGCAAGTCTTTATTTTAGACTTTTCTTAGAATGGTAGTGACCAAAGTGCCAGTTTATACTTGTATATTGGGACGACCAAATTTCTTACTCAGTAGGGACAAAGACACTATCTGCTTTTCTGGGTCTGTCTTGTACTCTGTGGTTTCTCAGTGGATGTCTGTAAAATGGAAAAATCCAAGTCCTGAACCTTCTCACACACGAATGGGATAAACCCAACAGCTTTGCTTTCAAATCCTCTTCTCAATCCTCCACTGATCCCATGGAGAATACTTTTTACCCATCATCTCTATTTCTAGGCTATGCAGTGCACACTACACATAGATTTGGACCCAGGGCAGCACAGATTCACTTAGAAATCAAGACAGAGTAGCCTGTCAGAAAAGATGCATGAGAGAGGACTTGTAGTTGTGACTGATGGTTTCAGTCCCAGAATGATGTGGACTGCTGTGACTCCTCCCAGAGCTTTAGACAAGCGGTTGCAACCTTGCTTATAACCTCTTATTTGTTAACTTTTGCACGAATTCTCCACAATCAACAGCAGTCTATACAAAGATTTGTTTGGAAATCTCGGCTCCCCTCCAGCATCACCAACGGGTATCATTTTTGAAGTCTGATTTAGATAAATTTGTACATTGCTGTAAGAAACCAAAAAATAAGAGAAGATTTTCAAAGCTTATTTTATTCTCCTTAAGGTAAGTGTTCAGATTCATAAATGAAGTAGAGTCAAGGCATACTTTTGTAAGGGTCTTCATTCAGTAAAATTTCCACGAAGACTTGTCAAAGTATCCAGTTTTTGCTATGTGTTGCTTTTTGTTTCATTTTTATCTCTCTACCAAGGGAGAGACTGAAACAATTAGCTTTTCTCTTGGTTTCCATTTCACACATACGAATATTTGAGTTGGATGAGTAGGAAATTGACTCCCCTTTATTGCTAAGCTTTTTAAGAAATGGCTTACAAAATTTGATAAAGGAATAATGTTTGTCTTCCCCATTTTGGAAGACCAACACTATTCTATCCCAAAAATGAGGGGATGGACCTTCCACTATACCTGAATCAAGCTGAAACAGTGGAGGGCAGATTAGGCTAGAAAACCATCAATGGTATCTACTTTTATAGGATTACATCCTGTCATAACCTTGTACCCAAGTCTTTCCATTTTCCTAGTTATTAATAGAATCAGTTTAATATTCCTGACAAAAGCAAGATTAAATCATCTATGTTTTATTTGAGGACATATAATGATTTTCTCCAGGTTAAGAGTTCTGAACTGTGGCATCCCCATGACAATGATTGGGTGTCAGAATTGGTTCACATTTCCAAACCATCTCAATGTTCCTATTTTAAAATGCCATCATTAGCATATATACTTTGTTTGATTTAAAAATAAGAGGAGTAGGGGTTGGCACTGTGGCGTAGCAGGTAAGGCCACTACCTGCAGTGCTGACATCCCATATGGGAGCCAGTTGGAGGCCCAGCTGCTCCACTTCTGATCCAGCTCTCTGCTGTGGCCTGGGAAAGCCGTGGAGGATGGCCCAAGTCCTTGGGCCCCTGCACCCACGTGGGAGGCCCAGAGGAGGCTCCTGGCTCCTGGCTTCAGATCCGCTCAGCTCTGGCCCTTGTGGCCAATTGGGAAGTGAACCAGCAATAGAAGACCTCTCTCTCTCTCTCTCTCTCTGCCTCTCCTTCTCTCTCTGTGTAATTCTGACTTTCAAATAAATAATAAATAAATCCTTAAAAAATAAGAGGAGTGGTAGTTCAGGTAAGTAGCTAACTCTTTAATAGCTTCCAATATAGCAATCCTAAAAGTATGTACATATTTATACACCAATATGTATATATGAAATGATATCCCAAGCTCATTTACTGTGAAGGCAAATAGGTCAATATACATTTAAAGTACAGTGAAGATACACAACATTTTTACATTTATTACTTCCTGTTTCTGCTCTGTTCTGCATTTTTATGATGCCTAATTAGAAACACAAAAGAAAATTAAGGAAAATGGCTTTATCTCCCATTTCCTGTTGCCTATAAAGCTCTTCAACAATGCTAAACTCCCAGAGGAGTGAGAATCATTTCATCTTTCTAAGGATATAATAGCTGTATTCTCTGGAGCTTCTGTGGATAATTTTATAGAGCATTATAATGTAGAAAATATTTTTAATGTATTAGAAATATGGCACAGGAAGAACCTCAGCCATATGTACAATTCATGCAAATAAATCACGTCACTTTGGGCTGTTAATTAAGTCTGTTTAAAAGCTTTTCTCTCTTACTTAATGTATCTTTGGAAATGAAAAGAAAAATAAACTCATTGACCAAAATGTGCTAATATGCATTTAATTTAGGAGATGAAATTTTTTTGAATCACTATATATCTAAAATTAATTACTGATGGGGACAGGGTCCTTTTTCAGCCTGACAGAAATAGCCAATTACACTCTTGTACTTTAAATGCTGTTCTTTGAAATACAGAGACTTCAAAATTCGTGCGAAGCAGCGTGCTTATTTCTCAAGAGCACATTTACCTTGGAAAGCAGGTCCTCCCTCCAGCAGCATACCAATGGGCTACACCCTCTATAAAGCCGCTGCAGTGGGTGAGAAGCAGAAAATTAATGGCCATATTTGACTTAACTCTTTGAAGCATCCCTAGGAACCCAATGAAGTTATGTTCTTTAGAAAACTCAGAAAATTTAACTCAATGTGATTTTTGTTAAGTTTCTGTCACTTTTCCAAGAGAAATTATTTTAAACTCTTCATGTGGTAAAATAGAAATTTATCACATAAAATATATGAAATAGGTGTGCACAGACATTTTTGTTAGGATGGAAGAAAGGGTGGCAGCTCGGATGGTGGCAGCATTTCAAGAATCCTGCGAAAGATTTGGTTTCTCTCTTCAAAGGGTCATCCACTGCTGTCTTGGTGGAAAATGCTCTGCCAAGTGCGATCTGGGGGTGTCTGAGACGGTCTCTGTTCAGCTCAGTGAGTCAAGAGAGGAGAGATCAAAAATAACCATGACAGGTAGACCTTCTGGCTGAGGAAACAAATGCAAATCCATTCTGTCCATCTGGCTGGGGGCGGGATGCGTCTGAGCTGCATGGTCACAGACCTCAAATATCTCACATGTATACTTCAGACCAGTCTGGATAGTTGGTCAAGAGAATGATACTAGGTTTTCTTTATTTGTTTTTTAGGCTTTTCACTCTGGGCCACTTTAGAACTCTATAATGCCTAGTATTTGACAAAAGACAGACATGCAGCTGATGGGAGGAAAAGAGAGAAATTTCCTTTTAGATAATTGTGTCTCAGTTATTACCATGAAGCATTGTTAAATGATTTAATAGATTCTTTTACTTATTTAACCCTCACAACTATCAGGCAGATGGAAAAACAGAAGCCATAGACAGGCAGACACCAATCATTAGCCCCAGCACACATATTGTAGTTACACAGTCAGGATTCAACACAGAGTTCAGGCAGGCTGACAATCTTGTTAGCAACTCTCTGATATTTATTTCAGTGATCAGAGAACTTGAATGAAGATTTGTAAAAATTTCATTTAACTGAGTAATCTGGCATTACTCATGTGTACATTTAATCTAGCTATGTAAACCACTTGAAAATATAATTGAATGCTATAAATTACCCAGACATTCTTTAAATGTGTTTACTTATAAATCCAATAAGAATTAAAAATATATATCAGATATTCTGCTCAATCAGGGTCCAGCATCTATCACAAGGCAAATACAATGCCTGCCTCCACCAAAC